TTCCTCCCTCCTCTCTCTCTCTCTCTCTCTCTCTCTCTCTCTCTCTCTCTTTCTTGCTGCAAGAATCATAGTTTTAGGAGCAGTGGCAAGTGCATCACGACGCAGCGGGGAAACAATTTCCCATAAATCTCTGCCAATTTTTCCGCGGCTCAGAAGACGAGAAAGCTTCCACCACGAAGTCGAGAGACGATGGTTTATACAAACATTCAGGACGTATTATTCAGAGTAAGGACTTTAGACTAAAATATACGCAAAAAACGTACGATACGCAGCGTAGAAAATGCGATGCGTAGCATTCATGTATTACGGTGGAAAAATCGTGGCAGTAAAATGATATGATTTTAAAAAAATGTGCATTTGAAAGAACTGTCTATATAAGCTACAGCAATATTGTCGACTTGGTCGATCTCCATCTACGTCAAATATCGAATCATGCACATTTTATAGGATAATCTACATTTATCTATTCTCGATACGAGGAATATTATAATATAAAGAATACGTAAATAATTGCCTGAGATTATTTAATTCTCATTTCTACATGCAAATATTATTCTGCCCTACAAAAACCTATACTAAAAAATGTACATAAAGAATGTTAAAATAAAAGAACTAAAATAAAGAACTTAATTAATAATATTTAAAAAATTATGTAATAAAATTTAAAAAATATTAAATATTACGTTCCAGAAAATCTATTTTAAATATTAATTTTAATTAAGATATATTTTATAAAATTGTATAAAAGTATTCTAAAAATATCGAAAAATAAACATTGCTTTAGAATTTTTTCCAGTGTATCGACAAGTAGGAAATTAGATCGCATTCAATTATAAAAAACTCTCAATTCTCTTGAGAGACCAGATAACGTAGGCATGATAAAAATGGAAAAAAAGGATGAAGTAAGAAATTATGTGATTTTTATATTATATTGAAAGACACGGGACTGCGGGTCGTCGAATCCCGGACGAAAAGATCCCTCTCTCGGGTATCGAGAATAAAAATGCCGTGGAAGAGGGATCTAACGGATTGATCGCTCCAGTTACGGCCACGGATTCGAGCAAGCCGTCTTTTCATCGGCAATAAAACGTATATCGCGCTCGACGGTGCGCACACCTACCGCGTGTCCTCTTTCACTTCCAGCCTCGGTTTCCTGCCTCCATCGAACGAAAGACTATCCGGTTGAAAGATAACATAACGAAGTTATTAACTCACCCACGACACAATCTCCTTACACTTTTACTAACAAATTTAGACATGTATGTAAATCAAATTAAACGTTACTTAAAATTTCATGCTCTTTTCATATCCTTTTAAATCAGAGAAATTAATGACATGTGGAAATATATGAGACAAGTCAGTCATAGCGAAGCATAAGAAATTTCTCATATCTTCTATAAATATATTATTCAGAAGACATTAATTTAATTGACATGTTAATTAAAATTAAAGTTCGACTTTAACACATTTGCAAAGTAATATAATAATAAAAAACTAATTACTTACTTAATGTAACTATAAATATTTGCTACCTGAATTGTACATGCTTTTGAGAATCACTCTTTTATATTAATTATATAATAACCTTAAAATATTTATATAATTATATAAACATTCTAGAGACATAACAGACAGATGAGATTGTCCGGCTAAATTAATTTAAAGTCTTAATAGAAGAAAGAGAATATCTTCTCGTCCCTGAATATTACAATTTTCTAAGAATATGTCGTAAATGTATCAGGAAGAATTCGACGAAATTGTTGCGCGTTTCGTCATCGATTTGTCATATAAGTAAATCGTCCTCCCGTCGCATCATCAGTCAAAATGTGCGTGCACGCGTACACGTATTTGATAACCGGGCGTTCCCTACTTCGTCTCTCGCGATCGCTGCATTTTCCTATATTCTTCCCTTCTTCACCCCTATCACTTGCTCGCTCTCGGCGAAGGAAATCTGATAGAGGATCTCCGCCGCAGCTGATGCCAGCACTTCCGCAGCTTTGTCCCCGGAACTCCGGAACCTTGTTTTCTGGCGATCGACGAGGATTCCTCCGCTTGAGATTGAGGGGAGGAGAGGATCAAACGAGGCCGGAGATACAGAGAGAGAGAGAGAGAGAGAGAGAGAGAGAGGGGGGGAGGAGGAGGGGGATATCTGCAGATCCTATCTACATCGGTGCATTATGCATGAACGGTAGTTTGATAACCTGTACGTCGTTTTGCCCAGAGAATGTCGGGCGAGAACGTCGCGATACATGGCGGGCAGCATCCCGATACAGAACGTCACGTATACGCGTACACGTGTACACGCACCCATACAGAGAGAGGGTCAGAACGACGTTTATGCATGGCGCTTCCTGCGTTCTACGGCCTCAATGCACGTGCGCCACCCCGGTTTACAGCTATGCACCGGCATCGTCTCTATGCCGCGTTTATACACGCGCCATCTCGCATCCTCTCCCTGCTCCCCCCCTCCTCCCCGGTACCATTCTCCGGTTCCCTCGGTTGCTATCCTTGTCTTTCGCATTCCCCGCAACGATGACGCCGGATGACGCTCTTCTCCGTAACGCGCGAGCGACTTCCTGCGTCACGAACGATAACGCGCGGAAAATTCTGTGTCTGCGGTCTGCGGTCGATGCTAACGAACTTTTCCTTCGTTAGCGGAAAATGTGCGTGTAGGAGTATCGCTGCTCGCCCGCCTACGCTAACTCTCGACTTTGCTAAAAAGCCATATTCACACCTACGTTGCAAGGTCTTTCATCAAGAAGTTACTCGCGCTATTCATAAACTACGATACCAGAAATAGAAGAACATGCGTCTTGATATTTCGCTCGATAAAATTGCAATTAATTATAGCAAGACACAACCGTGCAATTTTTACGATTATAAGTATAATTAAGAATTTTTAAAGGAAAATTTAATTGCTACCCTGTTAACTCTTCGCGAGGGTTTACATATTAAGGCATGGTTATGCAATAATTAAGCTCACTCCAAATTACGTATAAGAAAATAAACGCGGAGCGCAGAAAATTATTATGAACAAATGTTAACATTCATTTTTCGCGTTCAGAGAGAGATGCTGTCTCGTGTCGTGCGGATGCACGTGTCACGTGAAGCAGCTCGGAAGAACACCCCGAGAAAAGCGCATAACTTCTCCTTCTGCTAGCAAACATCAAAGAACTGCCGCCAGCACGGAAATATGATATAATCCGACGGACGTAACATTTGCGCAACTAAATATCCGGAATACAAACGTTTCCCTCCCATTGTCCTCGGCGACATTTTTGCGAGCGGTGGAGCCGGAGGGCGGAGCGATGTTTGCCAGTTTAACGGTTCCTGTTCCATTTCCGCCGTGCCGCCCGAAACGTTTCGTACGCCGTAATTCGAGCGCGCGCCATTCCGCGCGTGCATCGACCGTCTTGGGCCATCCTCCTGCTTCTGATTGCGAGGGGGTGCACGTATGCGGATGCAACCCCCCCCCCCCCAAGCCGTGTATGAGTAACGGCACACCGCGCGACACACTCGTGGCGCGACGGAGGCGGAGAAACGCGATTCGCTCGAATCATAATGAATTCCGTCTCCGCGCTCTGAAAATTGCGATCGGCTCCAAGTCCCCGGGGCGAGTTCTCCGACACGAATAAAAATCCAATTAAGCCGGCGGATTAAATCGCGGCATCTGCGACCCTCTCCCGTTCGTAATCGTTCAACCGCGCGTCTCTTTCCGCGTTTGTATACGTATATCTCGCGATCGATCCCACGGTAAATTCGCAAATTATTTTATCGTTTTCTCAGTATAGTAGATGCAATGTACAAAAACCCAATGGACCCGTCCCCCTCCCCTCCTCTCTCTCTCTCTCTCTCTCTCTCTCTCTGGAGTTATTAAAATTACTCGAGTGTAATTCAAATTACTCGAGTGTACACGCGAAATTATTTTCGCGATCGGCAATTGTTGTCTTTGGAAAGGCAGGCCGAGCCGAGAGAATAATACAGTTTGGAAATATTTTCGTTGGTGAACGCGCATCTCAGCGTTAGATGCGCATTGGACGCCGCGTCTGGCAAACGCGACGCAACCTACCGCATCGGCATACAATAATGCACCATTGTTATGTACGCCGCATTTACATATACGCAATTTCACACACTCCACAGCTC